CCCATTTCAGTTCAGGTGCACCTCACAGCATCCTGATGTTCTTAGCATCCATCATACCCTTTGCCACCATGGTTATGTGTTCCCATTTCCCCTAGGAACCTATGAGTTCCTTATATACAAGGACCAATTTTTGAATTATGTTTCCTACCCTAGCACTTAGCATTATGCGTGGCAAAGTAATGGGGCCTCAAAAAATGTTTGTTGAATGTAGAACTTCTTCCTTTTATCCTTTTCCCTTTCTCCCTCCTCCTCTTCCTTCCTACCTTCTTTCTTTGTTTCCTTCCTTCATCCCTTCCTCTCTCCCTTACTTCCTTTCTTGCTTCTTCCCTTTCTTCCATAAATACTTATTGAGCATCCACTATGTTCTAGGCACTGTTCTCGGAACTGGAGATAAAACAGGGAACAAAACAGATCAAAGTCCTCACTTTCATAGAGCTTGTATTCTAACAAGAGGTGACAAATGATTAACAACTAAATAAGTCTGAAATATGTCCAGCGATGTAAGTATCATGAAGAAAACTAAAGTAAGGAAAGGGGGTAGGGAGATATGATAAGAATGGACTGCTCTTTTACATACAAAAGGGTAAAACTGGCTCACTGAACAAGTGGGACTTATAAGTAGGTACAATCAGAAAACAAATCTACTTTTCCTCCATCACTGCCCATCCGCAGTCATTTGGAGGGACTAGTTCTTTCTCACGCTCCTTGATTAAATATAAGACAGGTCCCAGGGTGTTTCTGGTTACTCTCAGATAATACAAAACTTCTCTGGCTACTTTTGTCCCAAGAGGATTTTCACTGAGGTAAGTAAAATGCCAGTCCCATATAATAGTCAAAAGTTCACACGTCATGGAAAGATTCTCATTCCTCCACCTTGGGGCTGCTTCGGCCTGGCCCACTATATTGGGAGCAGGGGGCACAGTTGGCTTCTTCTCAATTATCCCACTTGGACTTCTTCCCTATTCCCCACCTCCCTGTATCTCCTTGGGGACTGATGCCAAGGATGTGTGGAGATGAGGAAGACAGAGAGGTAAATGCAGGAATGGCAGAATGTAATCTTGCTTTGGTTTCCCCTGGGCATGTTTATCTTTGACCCTCTCTGGCACTGGTGAATGTTCAAAGATGACTTTCTTGGGATGTTCTGGTAGACTTTGGGATCACCTCTGGGAACACTGAATGGCATGTCCCATGAAAGAAGATGCCTCTGGCTAGACTTAAATGTCTTGCCTCGGCTCCTGGAAACCCAGCTAGGCCCCTCCATCTCTCCTTTTTTTCCTTCTACAAATATTTATTGGGCACCCACTATGAGGTGCTCTTTCACAGGCTCTGAAACGACGCCATGTCATTTTCTTCTTCCCCGTGGTCCACACTGGATCCACAAGAGGCACATCTGGGCCCGAGGATTCACACATCCTTGCTCCACCTCTAGGGGAGCTGGCTCCCTCTTTTCTGCTCTGCTTCCTCTGACCAGTCACCAGAGCCTTATGTCTAACTTCGTGAGGCACACAAGGGTCCTTGAGATGAGACTTAGAGCACACTTTTTCCAAAACTCTCTCTGTACTAACAAACTCCTCTTCAGGCTTCTTGCATTTCAATTATCTTGTATCCCTCATGTGAGTGGGAGCCAATTAGCACCATCTTCTTTGAGGATCTTGCTTAAGTGACCTAATTATTTACTTTGGCACATGAGGCTATTGTTCTGTTCTTAGACTTTTAGAGCCTTAGCCAAAATGTAGACAAAAGTAAGTCCCATTTTAAACTCTGCTACAAATAAATGATGCTCACATTAGCTCCTGCAGCAGCATTTAAGGACAAGGACACCTTCAATCAGCTAAATGAAAATGCGGTGGATGGACAAAGCAGCCATTCAGCAGCAATCTTACAAAAAAACCCAAAAATGTTAAGAAGGCATTCAGAAGGGGAAACAGATGGGAATAGGGCTAGCCAGCATGTGTGTGGACATAATTCAGGAAATAGGACAGAAGTTATGGCTAAGATGTAAGAAATCAAAGCCCCAACACATATGCAGTGAGATATACAATATCCAAGCCAGAGCAGAAATAATCAGGTCTATTTTCTACAAGGAAGGTGCAGTATAGTGGGGTAAAAAGGCCAGCACACTAGACGTGGAAAAGTTTGGTACTCCAAGAGGCAGTTTGGAAAAGTCTCTAACATCTTAGCGTTTAAAGCCAGAGAAGAACAATGGATTTTAATTTGTAATATACTTTCTAGTTGTTTGACTTTTCACCAGTGATTAAGCGTCACTTGTTCTCAGTCCCCTCATCTGTCCAATGTGGATCACGTATGACACCTGCCTGAAGAGCTGTCCAGAGGATGAAATGAAACGTTTTTAATGGAACCATCTTGTTGAATTGATCCTATTGCATCAATAGGATGCAATCATAAAGGAATTTCATTTTAATCAGACTGCCCCTTCCCTCCCACAGCAAGTTATTTCCTTTTGTTTAATAAAAGTCTTAGGCAAGTCTCTTCTTGGCCACTGCTGTCCCTGCCCCAAGGGCAGTATACTCCCTCTTTCTGCTGTGCCATATCAGGCATGACTTCTAACATTTAAGTTTTTAAGCATGTGCCTGGACCCCATGTCCTCTAAATTCCAGGACATACATATTAATCTCTCTGAGTGGTTCCCTTGAAACTCCTCTCAACTGGAGAAAGAGGGGCACAGGACCCACAACTACATGAATCCTTTTTTAATTCTTCAGTCCCTTGTCTTCAAGGACATAACTACTCATACTGGTTTAATCTAATTTAGTCTCTTAGTAGGTCCTGCCTAGATGGCCTGGATTCTTGCTTTAAGGCATGTGGTTCCTGCCAACTATCAAGAGTGTCTTTAGGCCCTTATCAAAACTGTGTGACAACAGGAAGATGGACTTGCCCATCCTCTTGCTACATCCAGCCTCATACCTGGCATGTGAAGGTGTGGGGGCTCAGTGCCAGTATCCCCGCCTTCTCTTTACTCTTGGGACCTTGGGTGAGTCATTTAAGATCTGCAAGTCTAGGTTTAGAACTAGAATAATAATATATTTCTTGACAGCTTTATAGCTTTGTTGTGAAGAATGAAAAACAAGATTGATGAGCCAATGCTTTATACACAGGAAGTCGATAGGGAAAAATGTAAATTGCTATTAAGATAGAGAATAGCAGTTCCATCAGAAATAGTGATTCCTCAGTCTATTTTCTTTCTATTGAATACACATTCCAGATCTGGCAGGTGAAGGACAAGGTTTCAATGGCCATCAACAAAAAGACATACAGACAGTAAATACTACTATTTATTTACACATTCTCATTAAACCTGAGGCTTGACCACTGTAATGCATGTAATATTGGGGAAGGAACGTTTGTGGCTCCTATACCTCATACCCCACTTCATCTCACATCCTTTGTGATATGAGGTATAGGAATACCCAGAGACCAAGAGCATTTTTACATAGGAATCAAAAATGAATGTTTTTAAGGACCAAAAGTTCTTTAAAAACATTTTTTATATAGGAATCAAAAATAAATGTTTTTTAAGGACCAAAGTCTCTAAGTGCATGCCAAGCAATGCCTGTCTTGCCCAACTTACTCTTGTCCTGACCACAGCCCCATGCTGAAGAAAGCAAGGTGAAGCTGGGTTTGTGGGGGAATGGAGCAAGGTGGATGCTGACTGAGTTGGGCATCACACTGCAGAGCTCCATCCACATGCTGGCTGATGACCCATGAGGCAGCCTGATGCAAAGGGAAGAGGGTTGGGTGGAAACTGAGGAAATCATCAGATTCCCCTGAGATCTGGGCTATGGAGCAAGAGGTAAACCTGAGCAGAGAGAAATGGAGGTGCCAAAGAGACTCTGTGTGTGCATGTGACACAGAGAGGTTGGGGTGGCGATGGGGATGCCTTGCTTTAGAGCTGTGTTAGTTCCTGCAAGTTTGCTCATTCCATATCCAGGCAGCTGTCACTTTACAATAAATCCCCATTCTCCAGGTGATCCTTATTACTCTCTGTCCACTGCAACTATAAGAGGAAAGGAGGAAATGGCGCTGCCATGCTAAGCTAATTTGTCCTCATTACCTTGTAGAATGGAGAATCTTCTAGAACAATTTCCAATGCAGAATTATGCATCTTTTTACACTTGCCTCATTTTAAATGCTAGTCTAAAACTAGTCCAGCTTTGGGGGGCAGAATGTGACACAAACCCAATCTTTTCATCACTTGTACAACCACCCTCATCAAATCACCAGCTCTTCATGCCCAAGGCCATCCTCTAAGGCTAAATTGTCTTCAGCTAGCCCCAAAGTTCCTGACATTGTAGGACCCAATTTGCGGCTCTCCGAGGAGTTGAGCTCTTGCCTTATGCTGACTGGACAGACACCTATGTAGCCAAGTAGTAACCTGCTCACCTCAATTCAAACAGGAATTACTTATGCCATAAATATTCTGCTTGTAACTAGATTGCACAAACATTATGAGACTGTTAATAGCACGTTTTAATTACTCACAACTCCACCAGCTTAAGGTAAATACAAAAGACTTGAAACCAAAGACCTAGGTATAAACTCTCCCTCTTCCACTCCCTAGCTGTGTGACTTTGAGTAAGTCGCTTAGTCTTTAGCAGGCTCTTTCCTCTCCTCTGTGAATTAGAGATGGTAATACCCACTTCGCAGGGTTATTATGGAGGTGAAAGGAGACATCTAACAGGATATTGTCACTGTAGTGACAACAGCATTATAGCAACAGGAACAATTTCCTAGGCACTTTTATGTGCCAGGCACCATGCCACGTACTCAACTTGCTCCATCTCATTTAATTCACCCAATCACTTTATAAGATAGGCACATTTTACAGGTAATGTAGCTTCAGCACACAATGACTAAGTCATCTAAGTAACTAGCACTGTTAACGAGGGATGGTGCTGCACAAAACACTCCTCCTTTAACTTTTTCATGTTTCACTATGACAAAGATTTCTGACTTAAAACAAAGTAATAGCAATTACTTACTGGGGATTCATCGGTTCCAAGTCGCCGATATGTTGAATGACACAGCTTTTTAACTTTCTCAGGACCCTCTATATCATAATCTTTGGGAAAAGCTTCTCTGTCACGGTGCCTTAAGAAAAAATTAGGAGTACATTAAGAGATGAAGTTTATTTATTCTATATTGCATTCAGATTTTTAAAAACTATCCAATGAAAATTTTCTATATTTGCAGCATTATTTTAACTATAAATTTATTAGATTTGTGACATATAAAGTATTTTCCATCTCTTTTCAAGTAATGCTGAGGCTAATTCCTAAAAGCAACCTAGCATAAGTAATAAAACTAATAATATCACCCAAACAATACTTCTCGAACATAGTAATAGTAATTACTCAGTGATTCCAATGAACTGAATCTTATTTAATAATGTAGATTAGTTTACCAACAGTAAATTCTAAAATAAGACATGGTAATATCTTGGAAAGGCAACCTTCCACTTTAGAAATTCTTTCTACCATGAATTTTAACTACAATTTTTTTCAAAACAAGACAGCAAAGTATTTGCCCATATTGATTTATAACCCGTGCTTCCTGCTTCTAAAGAGGCAATAAAGGAAGCTGATAAACATGAGGTAGAAGAAAACAGTTCTTAAAAATGTAGATGGAAGAAGGAAAAAATATAACAAACATCTTGATTAAAAGAGTGATTAAAAATAATAAGAGACAGGGCACAGTAACACATGCCTGTAATCTCAGCACTTTGGGAGGCAGGCAGATCTCTTGAGCCTAGAAGTTCAAGACCAGCCTGGGAAACATGGCAAGACCCCATCTCTACAAAAAAATACAACAATCAGCTGGGCTTGGTGGCATGTGCCTGTAGTCCCAGCTACTTGGGAGGCTGGGCTAGAAGGATCACCTCAGGGAGGTCAAGGCTGCACTGAGCCATGATTGTGCCACTGCACTCCAGCCTGGGCAAAGAATAAGACCCTGTCTCAAAAAAGAAAAAGAAGAAGAAGAAAGAAGGAAGACGGAAGAAGAAGGTGGAGGAGTATGAGAAGGAGAAGGAGGGGGAGGGGGAGGGGAGAGGAAGGGGGAGGGGTGGGGAAAGTAGTGGGGAAGAAGGAAGAAGGGGATTTGGGGCTAGAGAAGGAAAAAGCAGAAGTGGCTGGCAACTGAATAAGCTATTTTTAATAGAACTTTCTTGAGTGAAATACAGGAAGCTAAGACTAAGCACCCCTCAGAAAGTACCTTGCTTTAAGGGATACAGGGCTAGAATTCTTTAGAGGACACTCAAGTACCCAATAATTCAATCATTCAGCTATTTGTTTATTCCGCAAATGTTTTAAAATTCCTACTATATGCCAGGCACTTTGGTAGGTGTGGGGGATGCAGTGGGGAGTGAGTCTGATGGAGCCCCTGCCTTCAGTTGCTTGCAGTCTAGATAGAGAGACACAAAAATAAGAAAAATCTACAACATGGTAAGTGTGGGTAAAAACCTAGGGAAACAGAATCACTTCCCTTAACCTAGATTGGGCACCCAATCCAAAGGGCATCCAAGTCATGAGGCCCTTTAGGACCTGACCCCCTTCCCCATTCCCACTGGACTGGGACTCAGCCCCTGCACTACATTCCCATTAACACCCCTGCCTCCCCACCTCTGAGCATGATAGCAGAGCTCTGTAGTAGAACCCAGCAGCAAGGGAGCCCAGGGTGGGGTGGCAGGCAAAACACCACACCTGAACGCTCTTCTCTCCTCACATCTGAGCATCAAAGTGCAAAACACTAAATGCTTTTTGGTAACCTACCAGCATTTTATGAGAGCCTAACAGGAAGCTTTCACTTAAGTCGTCAGGGGGGATATTGGACAACACAGGCTCAACCAGGTCCTAGCTGTTTGGCCTTGGGCAAGTCACTTAACCTTTCTGTGCTTCCATTTTCACATATATAACATGAGGACAGAAATAATAACAATACCTTTTAAGATCTTGATATGAATTAAAATTTTTTTAAAAAGCAGAAAACTCTTCATATGCTGTAAAGCATCACAAACATCTATGTATAGTGAATACTAATTGGGCTTCAAAATCTGGTATACACTGGAACTTAGTTTTACCATAATTGAACTTAATTTTTCTTCCAAGCTCTCATTTTACCAAGTGGAAAAACCCGCATATTGGTCAATCCTGGATTTCTTCCAGCTCTGAGGGGTTTGTCTGGTGCCACAATGCCAAGAATCCATCTTTGTTGCCATCCTTTCTCCTTGCTTACATCTGCAGAAATACTCTCCTTCCCCTGTGGTCTTCTCTTACAGATCCATGCAGGTCTCCATCCTCCTGGCCTTGCCACACAGCCTTGTAGGTAGACTGGTGCTCTGCTGTAAGGGTGCCACTCTCTAGCCCACCAGACATCTTCCAGTGTCTCTCTCCACCTGGGTTCCTGGAAACCCAGGCACCATCCCTGGGTTACGTGCCTGACCCACCAAACAGATAGTGTTTCACCTCTCCAGCACTCTGGGCTTGGGGACACATGGGAGCCCCAATCTTCAACAGTTCTGAAAACATTACCCTGGGAATAGGGGGTGATGGGGAGAGGCAATGACAGGTCCTGATATGGTTTGGCTGTGTCCCCACACAAATCTCATCTTGAATTGTAGCACCCATAATTTCCACGTGTCATGGGAGACACCCTGTAGGAGGTAATTGAATCATGAGGGCGGGTCTTTCCCATGCTGTTCTCATGATAGTGAACAAGTCTGACAAGATCTGATGGTTTTATAAAGGAGAGTTTCCCTACACAAGCTCTCTCTTGCCTGCTGCCATGTAAGACATGACTTTGCTCATCATTTGCCTTCCACCATGATTGTGAGGCCTCCCCAGTCATGTTGAACTATGAGTCAATTAAACCTCTTTCCTTTCTAAATTACCCAGTCTAGTGTATGTCTTTATTAGCATCATGAGAACAGACTATTACAGGTCCCATCTGGCTCCAGGATTTCCAAAATCTTAACTCAAATTCAGGATCCCAGACAAATTCAAACATTCTCAGCTTTTTCTCTGGCCTTCTCCTTTGTGTGTCCATGAATTCTTCATTTGCTGTGGAACAGGGTGGCTTGGCTCTTCATGCTCCCAAATCTATCGGGCTTATGCTGAGACCCAAGTTTTTGAAATCCAAATCCAATAATTTGGCTCTTTCGTTACCTGCTGGGCCATTCTTCCCTGAGGCAATAAAACCGGAGTACGTCCCTACAGCAGCACACAAATGAAGGGGAAATATACCAGTAATATTTCAGCGTATTTGCCCCACGGCCCACCTCTTTATTAGACATGGAAGAAGGCACAGAACCCATACTAGTAGAGGCCTACAAAATAACTACTTTTAAATCAGAAATATATATATACCTGTCTTCACAGCTTGGATTATACCTGTCTTCACACCATCAGTCAAACTATCATTTTAAACTTTTTTTTTAATGGAAGAATGGGCCTAAGAAAGCAAAGATATTTATGGTCTGTGAAAGTCAGTATGTGGCCCTAATGATCCTACCATATACTTTAGCTTTCATGATAACTAAATTCTTACAAAAGATGCAGATATGTTCTTTTTTCATATAGCAACCTTAGATAGCAGCCAAAAGCCTAACATTAAAACCATGAATCTATAATAAGGGTGTTTCTTTGGGGGACTGAGCTAATGTAACTGGCATTTCCTCGTGCCTGCTGGCTGCCCACGGATGCTATGCCCACAGCCTGTGGGGCTCTGAGAGATTCACAGCCCAAAATCTGCCCCTACTCCCAAGAGGCTGCCAGCCTAGCAGAGAGAAATATGCATGTTTAAAAATTATAAAATGTATAAAATACACTGTATGAAACATAGTAAAATATATAGACCCAAGTAAAATATAAGATATGCCTTTACTATATACTCTCTCTATAATACATATTTATCATATATAAAATGATTAAGGCTTTCTAAAGGAAACAGGAGACTGAATTAATTCTCTGACTTTATTACGTTAGGGGAACAGTGGCCTGCGCCTTGGATTTCCTGAGATGAACTGAGAATCATAAGCTGAGGAACTAAATGAATCAACAGATTGAGAGTCTCAAATGAAAGGTGACATATAAGTGTAAAATATTATTAAGTGTAATGATAATATCTACAATAGGCTTTAGTTGGGTATTTTTAAGCACTTCGTCAAAACCAAGCCTTATAACCTTTCTGTGATTAAAATATAATATATACATACATAAAAATAATCACGGTGCAATAATATATATTTCTTCTAGCTTCATTCTTCTTGCTACCTGCATTTGTTTAGTCATCAAATGACTTGCCATGATTTTTTATTTGTTGCAATGAAAAATTCTGCATGAGAAAAATAAATAAATGTACTAAAATAGAATTTAGAATGCCTCTAGAGTAGTAACTTTCAAACTCTTCAACTACAGTCCCCAGTAAGAAAAATGATGCATCTTTTTTTTTTTTTTTTATATGAAGTTTTGCTTTTATTGCCCAGGCTGGAGTCCAATGGTATGATGTCAGCTCACTACAACCTCTGTCTCCCGGGTTCAAGTGATTCTCCTGCCTCAGCCCTCTGAGTAGCTGGGATTACAGGCAAGTACTACCATGCCCAGCTAATCTTCTGTATTTTTAGTAGAGACAGGGTTTCACCATGTTGGCCAGGCTGGTCTCGAACTCCAGGCCTCATGTGATTCACCCACCTTGGCCTCCGAAAGTGCTGGGATTACAGGCATGAGCCACTGCATATGGGCAAAAAAATGATATATCTTAATCCAGAATACATACATGCATTTCCATGCATAAAATTGAAATCAAAATTTGTCCAGACATGGTGGCTCATGCCTGTAATCCCAGCACTTCGGGAGGCCAAGGCAGGTGGATCACTTGAGGTCAGGAGTTCAGACCAGCCTGGCCAACACAGTGAAACCCCATCTCTAGCAAAAATACAGAAAATTAGCTGGGCACGATGGTGCATGCCTGTAATCCCAGCTACTCGGAGGGCTGAGGCATGAGAATCACTTGAACCCAGGAAGCAGAGGTTGCAGTGAGCTAAGATCGCGCCACTACACTGTAGCCTGGGTGACAAAGTGAGACTCTGTCTAAAAAAA